CCCCTCCCCCCCCGGCACTCTCTCGTACGAGAGATGGCTAATCATCTTCTTTCCCAACACGGAAATCAATGTATAAGACGTGTTCGGGAGAAGTGGTCGGATCGCTTACATGGCCGGGCCGCTTAACGTAATCGGTAAGCGAAGGGGCATTTTTTCCCGAACGCGTACACAATCTTGAATCCTGTTGGTTTAGCACGGTCCCAGAACACGAAGCAGGGATTGGTGCAAGGCTAGTCCAACAAGCCTATGGGTGAGTTCGATCAATATAGTAACATGATTCCTAATTGATAACTGATCACTCGAACTATCTCATGGGGAACGCAGGCCATATTTATGCCTGCGTAGGAACCTACGTTGGGGATTGAGTAAGGACTCAATCCGGCAATTGAGACATGTACAAACAACGAGTGAAGTATGGATATGAGCTCACAAAGGATTTTTGTGAGCTATCCCGAAATCATGAAACACGTATAACAGAAACTCACCGCAGCTTCTTGCAGTGGTGCCAAATTCCGACAGGATGTTGTGCGCGTACAAACAAATCCAAATCTCAATTTCTAGCCCACATACAAATTATATAACAAAAATTAATTACTAGTACAATTAGGACACGTAGTTATTTTATGTCCTTCAATGCCACAGCCACTGCAGCGAAATTGACGCCGTACAGGTGGATGAGAGGCTGGAAGCTCAGGCTCGGCCGGAACAGTAGTAACAGCTTAAGATGCCTCAATCTGATCTTGTATAAGCACCTGAGCCTCCTCCGTACTAATTCCTTGCTCATTAGATACTTGCTTCTTAGATTTTTGACGTTTCTGTTTCTCTTTTTCATGTGCAGTCTGTAAATCATTATTTTATATTTTGAGCTTTATATGCCATCGTACGAGCCTTTGGAAATGCAGTGAGAAAGTCGAATTTGTCAATATGATTGAACCCAAGCCTCATCCGCTGCTCAACAAGCTGTCCATAATGTCGCTTTAAAACAGCAAAACAGCCCACCCACATCAAGAGGCTGTAAGAGATGTGAAAAATGAGGAGGAATACACACTGGAATAATATTATTCTCGGTGCATATACGGTTAAATTCAGCTGTTAGATGACTTCCATGACCATCACGAACCAACATCCGATATTTCCCCAATGTACGGCCATCGGTAAGAGGAATAAAATGGAGTTTAAGCCATTCTAATCCAATCTTATCTGTTGTCCATCGATTATCACTGATATTGATTATCTAGTTAGCTGGAAGATCCTCAAACCAGCCTAACCGCATATATTTCTTTGCCTTAAAGATAATATATGAAGGTAAAGTCCATCCTGTTGAGTTAACTGCCTCAATTGCAGTTACCCATTCTCAATCACCAGGTTTTAATAGCTTTAGCTGAGTATATCAATCACTTCCAGTAATAACCTTAGCAGTTGCACAAAGTCCCATAGCAAAGCCAGTCTCATCAAAATTATAGATATCCTCTGGCAGGATTCCATATTCCAATATAACCTCTCGTACGCGATGAAAATATTCTTGGATTATATTCGAATCTTCGCATTTAGCACGTTCATAGTTGTATTTCCGCGAGAATTTTAATTCAATCTCTGGACGACGTTTGACAAGGTTATATACCCATTTTTCTCCAACCTGTTGATTTCCATATTGAGAAAGACAATTGGCCATCTCTCATACAAGAGAGTGCCGAGGAGGTAATCCATGTTTATCCAGGTAGAGTATCCATTTGACAAGTGATTCCTCCTCAAATTGAGTCAATTTATGACTGTTGGCGCGTATTTGAGATCTTTGTTGAGTACCGCTTAATCTCCTCTGTAGAGTGGTCCGGGGTATCTTATAAATCCTTGCAGCTTGAGCCACGCGCAAGATTCGTTCGTTTTTTAAATCGGAAATGGCTAATAAGATTCGGCCCTCTTGCTCAGCTAAGTCCTTTTTGTTTTTATTGAGAATTGGTGGCATATTGACGTGTTAAATAATAGAGAATTAAGATTGTGTACGCGTTCGGGAAAAAATGCCCCTTCGCTTACCGATTACGTCACCGATTACGTTACTATAACGATCCACAAGCGAGTTGGCCACTTTTCCCGAAAACGCGCTCTATATTGATTCTACACAATTCAACACGTCAATATGCCACCAATTCGCAATAAAAATTCAAAAAAATTCAGTTGAACAAGAGGGACGAATCTTGTTAGTTATTTCCGATTTAAAAAATGAAAAAAAATACACTCTATACGAAAAGCAGCAGAGATCTATAATGTCTCACGGTCAACACTTCAAAACAGACTACATGGCATGGCATATCGAGCTGAAACACGCGCCAATGGCCATAAATTAACTCAATCTGAGGAGGAATTGCTTGTTAGATGGATCTTAGATCTAGATAAACGTGGATTACCTCCTCGACACTCTCTTGTACGAGAGATGGCTGATTATCTTCTTTCACAACGCGGAAACCAATATGTTGGAGAAAACTGGGTATACAATCTTGTCAAACGCCGCCCAGAGATTGAATCAAAATTCTCACGGAAATATAACTATGAACGCGCCAAATGTGAAGATCCAAAGATAATCCAAGAATATTTTGATCGCGTACGAGAGGTTATATTAGAGTATGGAATCTTGCCAGAAGATATCTACAATTTTGATGAGACTGGCTTCGCTATGGGACTCTGTGCGACTGCAAGGGTTATCACTGGAAGTGATCGATATAATCGTCCAAATCTATTACAGCCTGGTGACCGAGAATGGGTAACTGCAATTGAGGCAGTTAATTCAATTGGATGGGCATTGCCTTCGTACATTATTTTCAAGGCAAAGAAATACACTCGACTAGGCTGGTTTGAGGATCTTCCAGACGACTGGAAAATCAATATCAGCGATAATGGATGGACGACAGATAAGATTGGATTAGAATGGCTTAAAACTCATTTTATCCCTCTTATTGATGGCCGTACATTGGGGAAATATCGGATGTTGATTCTTGATGGCCATGGAAGCCATTTAACAGCTGAATTTGACCGTACATGCACTGAGAATAATATTATTCCAGTTTTTATGCCTCCTCATTCCTCACATCTTTTACAGCCTCTTGATGTTGGCTGTTTTGCTGTTTTAAAGCGACATTATGGACAGCTTGTTGAGCAGCAAATGAGGCTTGGATTCAATCATATTGATAAACTTGACTTTCTTACTGCATTCCTAAAGGCTCGTACGATGGCATACAAAGCTCAAACTGTTCAGAATAGCTTTATAGTAACTGGATTAGTAACATTCAATCCAGATCGAGTTTATCAACAGCTTACTATTCGATTGAAGACTCCAACACCCCCTCCAAGTCGATCAAGTGATACACAATCATCCTGCTTGCAAACCCCTCAAAACGCACGTCAATTTAAGCGCCAAATGACTACAACGAAGAAGAGAATAAGCCGGCATACAAGAAGTTCATCTGAGGCTATTGGTGAAGTGTTTACACGGGCATCAAAGGCTTATGAGATGAGTATTAATAAGCTTACAATTGCACAGAAGGAACTCCATGATCTACGGGCTGCACATGAGAAGGAGAAGCAAAAACGCCAAAAATCTAAAAAGCAAATATCCCATGATCATGGAATTACCAGAGAGGAAGCTCATGTACTTGTACAAGGTCAGATTGAGGCATCTCAAGCTGTTACTACTGCTCCGGCAGAGCCTGAGCTCCCAGTCTCTCATCCACCTGTACGACGTCAATTTCGCTGCAGTGGTTGCGGTATTGAAGGACATAAAATAACCGGATGTCCTAATCGTACTAGGAGTTAATTCTTTTGTATATAATTTGTATGTGGTTAGAAATTGAGATTTGAAATCAATATAGAGCGCGTTTTCGGGAAAAATGGCCAACTCGCTTGTGGATTACGTTACCTGAAGTAGTATAACGTAATCGGACACCGAGCGGATCGCCTCACCCGAATTCCAACTATTTCTCTACACCAAAATTCAAGCAATCAAGAGGGCAGGGTATTACTTGCTATATCCGACTTAAAAAATCAAAGAATTCAATCTATTCGTCGAGCTGCACAGATCTATGATATCCCATATACAACTCTTCACCGTCGACTTGCCGGTATTGAATATCGAGAAGAAAAACGCGCTAATAGTCATAAAATGACTCAATATGAGGAGGAATCTTCATGGCACGGTCCACTCGAAAGACAAGAATTGATAGACTGGTCAAGAAACAAAAACCAATACTCTCCGGAAGAAAATGTTTCGGAAGGCAAGTTTTTTCACTAGGCAAGAGCATTGTAAGAAATTTGACGATCTTGCTGCTTGAGCAAATAATATGCATTGTGTATTATGCGAATATACACAGAATCTCTCGATAATAATTGGCCAGACAAAGCCAAGTAAAACCGGCACGGGTAATTGTACCTACAACTCGTTCAAATAGTCGTTTAAACACTTGTTTGAACACTGCTGAGAATCTGTGTAATGTATGTATTCTGTGTGTCTAATTAGGAATGAAATCTGTGGCATAGGCTGCCACACATAATATAGTGAAGATAGTTTATTTAGTAAGGGGTTTCTTGGTAAATCCTTATATCGAGGAAAGGTCGACACCCAATGAGAGCCGTAAAGTAATCCTGTCAACTCCTTTGAACACTCGTTTAAACGCCAACCGATTTCTCATCCAGCTTCAATCTAAGATTATCACACTCTTTTCAAATCGAAGATTCCTCATCGGCTGCGTTACTCGTCTCCGTCTCTCTTGAGTTCGGAAAAAGAAAATCGATTTCTTCAAGTGTCAGATTTGCCGTTTCGGGGTAGAAGAAGTAAACGATCTTTTTTCCCCAAAAATTAATACAAAGATTCATTCTCGGGATTTTTCAATCAAAGTGTCGACTTACAGGCACAAATGCAAAGTTGATGGCCATGAATATAAGATAAGCTTTCCACGCGAGCCTGTCAATCAGTGTTGGAGCGATCATGACAACAAAAAAATTCCATGTCCAATTTCCTGCGATGCTGATCGCTTGTCTAATAGAGATAATCAGCCGGGAATAGTTTGTTTACTAATGTCTGTACGGATGCGCCCTTTAATGTAGCAAGACGCTGCGACACTTACCCTTTAGCTCTGACCTGCAATGGCAGGATTTCTGGTGTATATACCCAGGGAACGCAGTTGACGGAAGCGCCAAAAATCAGCATGTAGAGAAATAAGAAGGCAATCGATGCTGAAGCTGTCGTTTTCTCGACCGATGTGCCTGATCGAGTGTCAGTATGTATGGGACAAACTATGCGTGAAAACAAAGCAACCTTTGAAGGACAGAAGGATTGAGATCATCATCATGCAGATGCATAGCCCGGAACATCCCCAGATCATTAATTTTCTACGGCCAACTCGATCAGAGTAGAAAGTAGGATATAAGGAACCTATTACTCAATCGTATAAAGCTCGTTAGATCTACCCATATGATTGAAGCATGGATTGTATGAAGAGGTAGTTACCAATGGCCAACATTACTTCTATTGCTCCTCCAAGTAGTAGGCTAAGATTACGGCTAACACCAACATTGAATTGAAGCACAGAAGGCATATAGTACTGTTTATGAACATCCATTATCAGCACAACACGCAGTATTACATACTAATTGGTTGGGGCACGGCTTACAACAACGAAATTGATGCCTCCCATTTGATTCATGAATTGCATTCCATAAGCCAAAAGAACGCGCTTTCTCGTTTGAGCTCCCCTGAGTACGTCTGTCCACTTGGATTCACCGCTCATGTTTTCGAGGCTCATGGCTTCCATGATTCCACGTGATTCACTCAGTATTTTTTCATTATTTGGCTGAAGGTTGTATACATCGCAAAGGACCTGAATGGCTTCCTCATTGCGACCCTTACGGTATAGGAAACGAGGGCTTTCCGGTAGTCTAAAACCACATGATATGCACATTAACAACGTAATTGAAAGCCCTTTCGAGTGTCGCTGGTGTGACTTACCCAAACAACGAGCCGATGATTATCACGGTAAAAATCATCTGACAAGCAAGCGGTAATCTCCAGCTGATCGATCCCTGAACGAAGCTCATTCCATAATCGAACCAATAAGAGACGACCACACCAAGAGCCACAAAGAGAAGTTCGCTGCAGACAAGCTTCCCTCGATGAGTTGCCTCACATAATTCGGACTGATATACAGGAACTGTTGTGGTTTCAAGACCAGTTCCCATGCCTGTTATGAATCGGGCCACTAGCAATTGAGTACGGGAAAAAGAAGAGCATTGCAATGTAGCACCAATCTAGTAATATCTCAATCAGCACATTCCTAGCTCACAAAATTGAGATTATTGAGGTTCTCAGGCATACGATTATCCAAACCATGGCGATCCATATGCATCTCCTGGGCCCTAATTTGTCGTTTATGAAGAAAGATATAATAGAACCAGCAAAACATCCAAGGTCAAATATGGATACAATTATCCCAAGAATTGCAGCACTTGGGTGATTGACTACGTTGAGGAAGTCCTCATTGCCGACGATGCCAGAGAGGACGCCTTGGTCATACCCTGCAACAGAATAGCAATTGCATCTTAGTCAATGCATCCTTACAAAATAGTCTGATTGGACAAGGATACACAACAAAAAGGCAATCTTTGGGTATTTTTTGCGTAACCATACCTAGAAGAATGAAAGATAATTGGCAGGTTACCGTTATAGCGAGCTGGAGCCCTACACCCTTTCCATACATGTTTACCCGAGGCATGGTGATTTTGAGAGAAATTTCAAAACGTTCTGTTTTCTAATATTGCTATTAGTTGGTGTCTTCGCCTTTTCTAATGTGGCATGAAATTCTATTTGTAGGAAAAATTTTCGGTGCAACATTCACTGTAGCTTAATTTGTGATGCAAGTTCTACTTCGATAGTCCGGAGTGAAATATTTCAAGTAAGCATACGCAGGTCCGTAGCTTGGCCATGCTCCCATGCAACTATTAATATACTTTTAGGGTAATTTGAAAAGTGTATCACGTGGGACAGTAGTAGAATAAGCATACAATTTATCATGGCCGGATCTGACTGTGAATGCTACCACAGAGACAGGCCTTTACATCTTCGTCTAAAGTATGCGCCGCAACATAGAGGAGCATTCTGCAACGTGATTAAATTGCTTGCATTTCTCATGAGGATTAATTGCTTGCTGTAAAATAAATCTTATCAATGTCGATTTTTCTGGCAACTTCTTTATCCCTTACAGCAGACAAGTTTCAAAAATGGCGAAGCAAAACAAAAGTTTGTGAGGGATCTTCTGTTTATTAGGATAACTGTCCGCATTTCCGCCAGTAAGCAATATATTTATCTAATAAATCAAGCGTAATGCCATTAGTCGTGCGCAATGAGCGTGATATCTGGCGGGCACGAGTAGTATCAAGTATTAGCTCTCCTGAAAGTTTTCGAAAGTCTGACTGAATGAACTGCTTAAGATGACGGAGGCTTTCCATCTCCTCAGCGTTATTCTGAGCCTCGGAGATTTTGTCCAACCAAACATCAAATGGTAAAGGTGTTCGATTCTTCAAATTTAGTTTAACAGCAAGAGCTGGGAGAAGGGACTTCCACGGTTGGCGTATCGGATTTTCGACATGATATACGATTTTAGAATCCATGGACACTTGATCTGAGAATAATATTTCCAAAAGGCTTTTTGCGGCGACATCGACAGGAATCCAAGAGTATGTCTGTATTGAAATTTGGTTAGTTTCCCTGATATTGTGAAGAACCATCATCTCTACATATTGTTAAACTTACCCCTGTAAGGTCCGGAAGTGTGCCCACTGATTGTGATGCTTTTAGAATTGCGGGAAAATGTTCATTAGGGTTCCATACACCTGTGTCGGTTGAGCCTACGACTTGCCCCAGGCGCAAAATGATAGGCTTGACACTATCTTTGTAGCATTCCACTGCGTCTGCGAGAATATTTTCACAAACCCATTTGGCTTGTGGGTAGCCGAAGCTAGCGGGAATATTGGGGTCAGAAATCGGAGCTTCTGGGACTGTCTTCTGTAAGCTGTATTGTGCGCAGACAGCAATGGATGAGACGAAAAGCAACCTTGTGTTTGTGAAAGATGATAATTTCTGGGCATTGTGGCAGTCTGCTGCAAAGTCAATTAGGTTTCGCAGCGCTTTGATTTGAGACTTGAATGACGTTAATGCTTGCTGAAAGTCCATTGGCCAAGCATTATGAATGATATGAGTCACTGTATTTTGGACTTGGTTGTATTCCGACTGGGTGAGTCCAAGATTCTCCTCGTCCATATTGTTTGCTGGCAGAAACTGGATTTTGTTCCAGGAATTCTTATCAAGCGATATCCCGCGTTTTAAATTGGCTTCTAGTTGACGAGCATGAAGTTCCTTGGCTGTAACCGTTGAAGATGTGGATGAAAGATTCACTTGTCGAGAACGAATGAGGCAGATAATTTTATCGACTTGTGGATGTCGTAATAGTTGCTGAAGAAGATATGTTCCTAGGTGGCCAGTGGAACCGGTAAGAAGTATCGTCCAGCGTGTATGTCTTTTTGACTCTACGTCAGCAAAAGGCGAGAATTGAGACCTTAGCTCATTCATCAGGTCTATTACTCGATTCTCTTCATCCATTCTGTCTGAATTGACTCCACTCAACAAAACGTCTGCTAGTGCTCGGATTGTGGGATGCTGATATATCAATCCAGGCTTCACTGCGCCATTGCCAATACCCGGAAAAGCATACTGATTCGAGACGCAATTTAGTATACGAGCAAGTCGAGTTGTTTCCAGAGAGTCCATTCCTTTGGTGTATAAATCATCGTCATCGGCCCATTCAGAGACATCTGGTATGCGGTCTTGCACGCATTCTTGAATGAGTTTTCTAAGATCGAGGTGGAGTCTAGTCCGTTCTGTTGAAAGGATACGGCGCTCTGTCGAAGTCTCAGTAGTTGCGTAGGCGTCACTGATTTCTTTTTCGAATAATTCGAAGGTCTGTTTCCGCATAATCGACCCTTTATCTGATCTCGGAAATTCTTTGTTGGAAGGTTTGATTATTATCATGCTTTTTGAAGATACACGAGCATGCCGATCTAATAAAGGGTTTGTCTGCTGTATAAAACCCCAGATAGCGTCAATAAAAGCAGATCTATCATTCTCTTCGATCGAATTCAAGGGATCCACGATAACTCCCACTTCCGAGCGGTATTGTCCAAACATAACAACTGCCTTTGCGAGACCACAAGCCAAGAGACTGTCTTCCAGACGGCTGGGAAGAACTTTTTCCCCAATAGAGAGAACAATGGTATCATCACCTCGCCCTAGAATCCTGACTTCCAGTTTTTCAGTTCCAGGACGTCGCTCTAGGAAGTCCTGTACCACAAAACATTCATTTTGCCCGAAAGGATACCCAACCAGTTGGTAGAGAGTCTGTCCACTGTTTCCGTTTTGAGAAACCTCTCGTAGCTCAAACTCCATATCATTGCGTAGACGAAGATATTTCCAGTCATAATCGTCTTCTGGACAGAATATAGGAGCGATTGGGCCGAGCTCTGTTGCTCCGTAGTGATTCAAAAGCTTGGCCCCATTTGAAACCAAAATCTCACCAGTCACCTGTTTGATCGCCCCCCCTCCTACGGCCACAAAGTCCAATCCCTTCAACGATTCCAGATAATCTTTATCGGCAACGATTTCCTCCAATATTGTGGGAACAGTCATTAGGGAACTTGCCTTGCAATATTTGATGAACTCCACCACAGATGTTGCAGAAGGAATAACACCACTAGACGGAAAACAACAAGTCAAGCCGGTGGAAAGACTGATACAAGGAGCAAGAAAACCAAAACCCTGCTTGATTGTTAGGGGCTACTCTTATGAAAATAGAATTGGATTAAACCTACATGATATAAAGGAAGTGTCGACACGTTCAGACGGTTTTCACACTGCTTCGGTTCGAGAAGATGGCATGCAGCATAGGCTAGCATATATCGATGTGAAAGGGGAATTGGTTTTGGCAAACCTGTAGTTCCAGAAGAATGTAAGATGATGGCGCCGAGCTGATCTTGAGTATGCAAGGGTCCTTTAAATGAATCAATCGCTTTGCCATCTGCTGTATCTAACAAATCTTGGTAAGGAGTGGCTATCTGAATTTCGATTTCCTCATCCGTGGGAAGACTCCGTGTCAATGAGTCCTTCGTGTTACTGGAAACGATAATAGCTCGTACAGCTGTAGACTTAAGTAGATGTCTGATAGCAATGGGACCCAGCCGGATTGACAGGAGCATTACCTATAAAACCCTCACTATGTTATGTTTGGATACAAGTTTTGAGATGGCGAGATCGAAACTAACCGGTACGTCAAGGTACAGTAAAGCTGCTAGATAAACAAAGAGCGTCACATCACTTTCCATGAAAAGAGCGACAGGCTTTTTTTGTGATTGCAATTCTGGCCCAGTGCTGATGATCTTCTCTTCGGCATCGCGGTGTGAGTTATTCAATAAGTCGGTGCATGCAATAACCGCCTTCTTCAAATCTTTAAAGGTGATTGAGGTTGAGAATGGAGGCTTTCCTGCACTGCGCATTTCTTGTATAGCGAAGAGACGTTCCGCATTGTGTTCGTAGTTGAAATCAATCAAATCAGGTAAAGTTTTCAATTGTGTTTGACTGGTGGGAAATTCCCGGGAAACTTGGAACAATGGCCGACGAAATACATGTTTTTGTATTGGGTTCTGCACGCCTGATGTTTCTGATGGCATATTGCTGTACTGTTCAGCGTTTGCAAGCACGAACCAACACACGCCAATGATAGAGGGCTATGGGATCAAGTCAAAGTTGAATATGACGGAGTTTGCACTGATGCTATGAAATCCTGAAATCAAGCAATCGACTTGTGAATACACAAATTTAGGATTTGACAGAAGGACTACAATTTGAAGGCAGGTTATCCCGTAAGCCGAAAGACACAGCACATAGTTCCTATCATAGTGAAAGTAGGGACCCGCGTACAACAAGGCATTTCTACCGCCTCTGAAGGCAGTAGAGAGAGCCTCAAAAGCTTAGCGAAATTAAATAAAATGGCTCTCTTTTTTGTTGTCTCATGTACAACGCTTAGGGTTATGCGTCTATACGCGGGTTCATTTATCCGTTTTAAGTATCCATCGCGAAATGTGCTCGCTGTGATCGCTTGGCTCGATGAATATTAAAAGGAAAGAGAATACTTTATGAAATATATTGTCATATTCCTATGACCCTATCCAAGTGAATGCCTCTTTCATCCCGCAATTCAATTCCGGAATGGCTTCTCAGCAAGTGATCTTCTTCGGGGGTCAAGGAGGTCGCTCTAGCGGTTATGCTCCCTCAACTATTACGCTCAAGGGAAATGAAAACTCCCATTGCTTAACACTATTATTATCTGCCTGTCATTCAATATTTCTGGAGGAGGCTTTCAAAGCAAGGAAAGGTTCGAATGCCCCGGCGTGGGCAAGGTTTGATGTTTTCCCATCTCCAGAAAGATTATTAGTCTTGTCACCCGAAGAGTCAACCAACCCCATTCTACAGGGTGTATCATTGTGTTTGAATCAATTGTTGACTTATTTAAACTATGATTGCGATCTTCAAAACCCAGAACCCGTCGCCATAATGGGTTTCTGCTCGGGAATGCTTCCCGCTGTGGTTGTTGCCTGCAGCGAATCGTTGGATGAATACATCGCCTACAGCAAAGAGGCCATACGAGCAGCTTTTTGGGTAGGGTATAGGGCAGCTGAGTTGAGTAGTAATATTGGTGGCCGCCAATGGAACGAGCTTCCATGGGCTATGTCAGTGAGTGGGAAGACACGGGAGGTTCTGATGGAAGAAATCGTGATATTCAACCAGACGTCTAAGAAGACTACGGCGCATGAAGTTATTATTCTCGCCAATATATTTGGTGAGAAAGGATTCAGTATTGTTGGTCCTGGATACTTGCTAGAGCAGTTCCGCTCTCGATATCATTCGGAGAACACAGCATTCGCTCTTATACCAGTTCACGCTCTATACCATGCGGGTGAAAACTCAGCGAGCGCGTTAGAAGCTGTTCTCACGGACCTGAACACGGATAGATGCGCTTTTCCTTCTAGAGACAAATTGAAAAGGCCATTATGGTCCTGTCACAACGGAGGGATCCTCAACGCGGCTGGTCCGGACCAAAACTCGTTGCTCCAATGCATACTAACCTGTATTCTCGTGGAACAAGCAGATCTTCTGACTACTTGGAACAATATGGTGAAAGAGATGGAACTTTCAAATAGCAGTTGGAGCGCGATCACCATTGGTGATGGAGCTCGAGCGTTACTTTCGACCGTCAATAAAGATGTTCACTCATCTTCAAAACATTCGTTCATTGACTTACCCCGTCTTCCCATGAACTCAAATTCCGGCTCTTGTAATGAGTTTGCGGTGGTTGGAATGTCAGTTAATTTTCCCTCCGGGCTCGGAAAAGCGCAGTTCTGGAATATGCTGGAATTAGGTCTTAATGCTGCTCAGGAGGTAAGTCCTTTGCTTCTTCGAAGTTTTAGATACTTTTTATGATATCGTATCCCTGATCATCAAATCTTCAGATTCCAGGCACCCGCTTCTGTGTTGATGATTACCAGGTGGGAAAAGGTCAACACGGCTCAAAGCGCGAAATGAAAATCCAGCATGGCAACTTCATCAACAACCCTTTCTCATTTGATCATGAATTCTTCAATATCTCACCTCGCGAGTCAAAATCTATGGATCCTCAGCAGAAACTCTTGCTTCAAGGGGCTGTGAGCGCTTTGGACGACGCGGGATATGTACCTTACTCGACACCATCGTATAATCCTGAGACCATGGCATGTTACGTTGGCATAGCTACAGAGGATTATGTACAAAATTTGAACTCAGAAATTGATGTCTATTATTCGACTGGTGAGAACTCAGGCCTAACCCTCCACAGCCCTGAATGATTCAATTGCTTACTCGTTACGTACACAAGGGACATTACGTGCTTTTTTAAGCGGAAAAATCTCATACGCATTTGGGTGGAGTGGGCCTTCGGTTGTTATTGACACGGCATGCTCGTCGTCTACTGTTGCCATCTTGAATGCTTGTCGAGCACTAGCTGCAGGCGACTGTTCCGCAGCATTAGCAGGTGGCGCAAATGTTATCACTAGCCCAGATGTAAGCGAAGACTCACTCATAATAGTTCAATTGTTTTACTCACATTTGATTCTTAGATGTATATCGGTCTCTCACGCGCTCATTTTCTGAGTAGTACCGGTCAGTGCAGGCCATTTGATGCCGGTGCTGATGGCTACTGTCGCTCAGAAGGATGCGGCCTATTTGTAATCAAAAGACTCGAAGACGCTGTCCGTGAACACGACCGGATTTATGGGGTCATTAAAGGCATCGAAATCAATCAGAGCGGGAATGCCACTTCAATCACACACCCTCATGCCGAAACTCAGCAGAAATTATTTCAAAAAGTTTTGACATCTTCTGGAATTGATCCTGCAACTATTAGTGTTGTAGAGGCACATGGCACGGGTACACAAGTATGTTTCCTCCCAAGATGTCTCTTTTTCCTATTCTCTAGCTCAACTTTGATATAGGCGGGTGACGGGACGGAAGCTTCGAGCTTGATGTCAGTGTTTGGCGGCCTGTCAAGTATCCAATCTGTTTACTTGACTTCCATAAAAGGAAATATAGGGCATGCGGAAGCCGCTTCTGGTGCTGCAAGCCTCGCAAAGCTATTGCTTATGCTACAAAATAGAACCATACCTCCTCAGGTTGGTCTCAAAAGACTCAACCCTAAGTTAGAACGATTGATGGCTCAAAATTTCCACATTTCCACTCAAGCAATCGAGTGGAAACCTCCGCGTAACATTCCAAGGAGGGCTTTATTAAACAATTTTGGAGCAGCTGGATCTAATGCGACTTTGATTGTGGAAGAATATGAGAGACGCACTCCAATGAAAACGAGGCATGAACAACGATCAACATACATGTTCATCCTTTCAGCTAAAACTGAACAAGCGCTCAGGACTTTGATAAATCGACACAAGGAGTTTCTGCAGAAAAATGATCAATACGATTCTATCGCGAATATTTGCTACACGGTCACAGCCCGAAGACGTTTGTATGTCTGGAGACTTTCACTGGCAGTAAGCTCATCAAAAGACTTATTGAAACAGCTAAACGATGAGCATTCGATTAATCAATGCGTTGAATCTATTGGCAGCCCGGTCACATTTGTCTTCTCGGGTCAAGGTGGCTTTTATGCTGGTATGGCTAAGAGTTTACTGTCTACGTCTTCTCTTTTTCGTGACAAAGTAACGGAGTGCGATCAGATATTGAAACTTTTCAATTTGCCAAGCGTAATCCCAATTCTAGAAGGATTGTCATCTCCTGACTCGAAGCTTGATTTCATTCTCTGGTCGCAGATAGCGTCTTTCGTATTGGAATACGCAGTGGCATTTCTTTGGCTCTCTTGGGGTGTCAAACCGGATTTAGTTATTGGTCACAGGTGAGACAGGCAACACTTTCACTCGGATTCTTGAATCTCTCTTAACTTTAAAGTGTAGTCTAGGAGAGTACGCTGCCATGGCTTTCACTGAGGCACTGTCTTTAAAAGACTCTTTGGGAATGATTGTACGTCGAGCTCAACTAATGGTGGAACTATGTCAGTGCGGTCAATCCGGCATGTTAGCATGTGAAAGCTCCGTTTCCTTCATAGGGAAAATATTCGCTTCTGATGGATTTCAAAACCTGTCGATAGCCTGTGATAATGGCCCTACAAGCTGTGTAGTTTCAGGACCAAATCAGGATTTGGACCGCCTAGCACAAATACTTCGAAGCCAGGCCGTTCGCTGTAAATCCTTGGATGTGGCTATTGGTTTCCATTCTGACGCTTTAGAACCCATCATGAAGCCCTTAGAAGAGCATTGTCGTGACTTTGTGTTCCATGCTCCGAAATTCCCTATGGGGTCCTGTTTGCATGGTCGTCTCCTCGATTCCAGCGAACTTGAACCCAGTTATATAGTGCAGCAAACTCGAGGGACGGTTCGTTTCAAGCGACTTCTAGAGTCTCTTCGTGAGGCTAGGATGAATTCTGGGATCTTTATCGAAATTGGCCCTCATCCCATCACCCTTCCAATGATCAATTCGATGTTTCGTGACGACGGGTGCTTATCTCTTGCATCAATTGCCAAAAATGAAGATGCATGGGCAACTTTGTGCTCGAGTCTGCGAGAAATCAGCGACCGAGGAATTCCTATTCGCTGGCGCGAAGTATTTGACGGCACAGATGCGACGGTCACCGATGTTCCCGAGTATCCGTTCAAAAGCCACTCGCACTACATTCCTTTCTCTGAAATGAGACATCAGACCGATGACATTGCTAAGCAAGTAATTTCCGCAAAGCCAAATTCATTTGAGCTCTTGGACAGTATTCTCTATGAGATGAAGTCGGAACTCAATGTACCGTCAAAATTTTCCACCGAGCTCGCCTCTCTCTCCAAGTACATCTTAGGTCATGTGGTCGGGGAATTCCCTCTGTGCCCGGCGTCAGTTTATATCGAATGTGTTCTTGAGGCCGCCCACTGGGATGACAAGTTCAATAAAGAATTTGTGCTCACTGTCCATAACATTGACTTCGGTTTGCCGCTTCTCTATTCCGAAGAGCGTCTCTCGAATTCTATCGACCTGACATTTGAAAACGGAGTGCCAACCTATGATCAGATCTCAGAAACACGAATTACTAGGCGAAAATTCACGTTTACGCAGAGCGTATCATCTGAGCCCAGTCACTCTCCGAAGAAAAACAGCGAGGCGCTTTGTTCTGGGTGGGCCGAATGGGAAAATGTCAAAGATATTGAATATCTTTTCAGTCGAAGCTCGGCATATATTAGACGACAGATTGCTCATTTGCAGGGTAGAGAGACCAATACAAACGTCTTTCGACCCAAGGCACTTTATCAACTAGTCTTCCCGAGGGTTGTCTCATACGGCGAAGAGTTTCAGACCATCAAGGAACTAAAAGTCTTGGAAGATGGGTTAGAAGCCCACGGGACATTTAAGATACCACCCATATCTAGCAAAGGGGGTATTCTTACTCCTGTTTTTGTGGACACCCTTCTTCATGCAGCAGGCTTTGTAGCCAATAGCTATATCCAGAAAACAGAGGCGTGCATCTGCGCAAAAGTAGAGTCTATCAAGGTTTTCTATCAAGACTTGGACCTACATCAAACTTTCCAGGTGTATACCAGCTTACTTGAATGCAACAATGGCGTCCTCCTTGGGGAAGCATACGCAGTTACTCTCGATGGTACGGTGGTCGGGACAGTGGAGGGTATGCACTTCAAGAAGTTGAATTTAAAATCTTTTAAGGCTCATTTATCACGCCAACTGTTGCACGATACCCCAAATCAGGTATCGTTACAAGTCAAGGGCAATCAGCAGAAGCCTAACAAGCAGAAAGATGATGATTTTGTTGTAACAAGGAAAGAGCCACAACCAAAACAGGATATGAACGTTCCTAAAATTGTACTGGAAACAATTTGTCAAATCTGCGAACGACCCCTCAATTCGATTCGAGGTTCAAGTACTCTCCTAAGTCTGGGAATAGACTCTATGATGCGGATTGAGCTTGGGAACCTGCTGGCAAAGAAATTGACGAACGTGGATCTAGACATGGACCACATGACTGAAATAGATACTATTTCGCAGCTCCAGGAATATATCATCGAGAAAGCTGCAAAATCAGAGCCGTACACATCATCCGCTTCTGATATAGCTCATGATTCATCTATCGGAAACTCCTCCACTCCAGCTGATACTCCGTTTAGCGGATTATCAAGTCAAAGCCAAACACCCCCAGTAGCCGAAGGCCTCCATGATTTATATCATATAATCAATCAGACTTGCGAAATACCATTGTCCAAGATAAGTCCCGAAATCGCTCTCGAATCGCTTGGCATGGATTCTCTCATGGCCATTGAATTACAAGAGGCTCTGCAGCAACATTTCGGACAGTCGTTACCTGAGAATAATCCAGTGTCCAACTGGACCGTCCAGGACTTGATCATCCACTTGGGATTGAACAAGCATGAGGATTATATAAAAAGCTTGCAAGATATCAATCAAGATACGAGCTTCTCGATGCTCGCTGTTACACCTGTACTCACACACCTACAGAATGGAGATCCCAGTCTACCTCCCTTAATCCTCTTCCACGATGGTAGTGGTACGATGGAATACTATAAAAAGCTCAAGAATATCGGCAGCAACGTTTATGCAATCATGAATCCGATCTTGAAAGAAGATCACTGGGCGAAAAGTTTGACCGATATGGCTCACCAGTATGCGTCTGCAATATCGACCACTATTGAAGGGCCATTCATTCTTGGAGGTAAATATGCCATGTCCCTAAACTCGAAGATAAAATTTCTGACCACAGATGTTTGCAATTACAGGTTGGTCTTTCGGTGGTGTCTTGTCACATGCAGTTGCACAGTGCCTTGAGCGCTTAGACGAGAAAGTCTTAGCAGTCATCATGATTGACTCGCCATGTCCAGAAAATCTTGAGCCCCTTCCATCAGCTATAGTAAAATATGTCCTAGGCCAAAAGAATCTTTCCTACTCTACAGAGTTGGTGATTACCGCACAGTTTCAGAAACATGCTCAGTTCTTAGCTGAGTATTCTTCTCAGAGAAGCGCGACACAGGGGTTTATTGCCAAAGAAAGAAAATACTTTATGATCTACTGCCAGGACACCTTGAACACAAGCAAAATATGCGGAGTAGATCATCCTTGGCTGTCAGACAAAAACTGTCGGGAGCAAGCACTCAATCAGTGGGAGCAAATTCTTGGTCGATCTCTGACGGTACTTCGAATACCTGGAAATCACTTCCAAGTATTTGACTCAGCCTACGTAAGTTGAGGAAAATAAATTTACTCCTAGTAGGCAGAATCGGCTGACAATGCTCTTTTCAGGTTGATGTCGTATCACAGCAGCTGCAACAAGCCTATACGGCTGCAATTTAGGGCATAGGGCAAGCATAGAAGGTTGAGGGCCAAGTAGCAGTATTACGCACGTCATATATTTTTGCATTTTTATCTGAATTAAAGTTTAGCCAATACTTCTTTGCCTTTTCATTGACTATTGCTCCAAAAATGGGGCTTTGTTACATGTACGAGTTACATAAAGAACATCAATAAAAATGTATGACTGCCTAGATTGTAATACTCAGGTTGGCCAATACGTACTATCGAGTAGAGATTATGTAGTATTGTTTCAATACATCCACTAGATGGATTTGTCAAGGATAACGTATTTCAATAGACATATACGTGGATAAAGATTCCCTCAGTCGCCCTCGTGTACAAGGACAAATTCCGCATATTCAGTCTAAAAATATCGGAGTTACATAGGATCTCTCTGCGTCTAAAGCTCTAGGGACCTCAGTACTCATGAGACCGGAGTACAATTGTGGTTCGCATCCGTCACCCGAATACCCTATTCCAGCTTCTTAATCACACTGGCTAAACAAGCAACACGAGTCATACATTATGAGAAGCTTGTGAATAAGAAGTCTACATCTACGTCGAGCTGTTCCAATCAATATCTACGTTGTACCTAAAAGCGAAGCTGAAAAAGAAAGGTCATTCCCTTGTGATTTACAGAGGATCTTGCTTTCAAGATCATTAGGCATGGCACACTCCATTTTGCCTTGCCACTTTCGTGATGGTTTCCGTCAACCAGCGACAGAACCACACTGGACGATACGGGATGAGGTCAGATCACTTACGGAGGAAAGGTTATACTACTAACAAGGACTAACGTTGGGGTTTTTAGGATGATGGTATTACCTATGAACCTCCTCCTAGCACAGAGATTGTGACTTCTACTTGTCATAACGACTTGGGTATCAATGTTCTTCGTACATGGCCCACTCTATACGATGGCACAGCTTCTCCCCACGGCATACCTGAATGGTGGAATCCGCCTTCAAAAGTCGATGTTCTAATAGTTGGAGGTATGAGGCCCTAAGCAACACTTTCTTTGTACTTTGTGTGTGTGAATTGAACTAAAAAGAAGTCATACGGGCATCCAGCGGGACCCAGTGGTCTAGAAGCCGCATTAAGTCTCATTCGGCAGGGTCTGACTTTTCGTATTATCGATAAAGCACCACACCCACTCATTGCTGGTCGGGCAGACGGAGTTCAACCTCGATTTCTAGAGACCCTTGCAACATGGGGTCTAGCTCAGGAAGTTCATGAAGAAGGTCCACTTATTGAGCGAACCGCAATCTACTATAATGGGGAACTTCTCCATCACGGCAGGTCTCACCAGTCAGACTCGCGGTATCGAGGTCTTCATATTATCACGCAAGGTCAAATTGAGAGAATCTATGTTCGTGATCTCCTCAGACACCGTATGCTTGTGGAACGTAATACGACCTTGAAAGAATTTTACGTTGATCCCGAGCTATCAAAGACGGTGTCACCAAATGCATATCCAGTCCGCGCGGTGATTGAAAACAGTGTGAACGGCAAACAGGAAAATATTGAGGCTAAATACTTAGTCGGCAGCGATGGCGCATCAAGCTCGATTCGCAAGAGATTGGGTATTCCTTTCGATGGTGTGAGCACAAATATCTATTGGGGTATCATGGACTGTGTGTTTGAGACAGATTATCCTCACGCATGGATTTTTGGGTAATTCCATCTGGTCTTCACAAAAAAAGAACAAAATAGCCTATGAACATGCTAAACAATCCTTAGATCCGTTGTTAGCTCTGAGCACGGAGGATGTGTGATTATACCTCGGGAAAATGGTTACATTCGGTAAGCTAAATAAAAGTTAGCACAATGTTTCCTTGCTGATGACTATCGGAAAGTCTATATACCCAGCTAGATGTGTCTAGTACGGGTTCCCTTGCACAATCTCGACAAGAGCGCGACGCTACCTTCGCAGAAGCTGGAGGACAGGTTAACATACACTCGATAACGCCGGAGGAAGTTCTCGAACAAGCGAATCGTATCTTCTCTCCGTATAAGCTTAAATTTGGTGCACCCCTAAGTTGGTTTGCAATTTGGAAAAGTAAGATAAGCAACATTGTCCGATTTATCCTCCAAGACAGCTAACAGGAATACCAGTCAGTGAACGAGTTGCCAGATCTTTTTCTTCGGATGATCTAAGAGTGCATTTAGCAGGAGATGCTGCGTAAGTTCATCTTATTCCCCAAAGCTTAATTCACTGCAGGACTGAAAATGAATACTGCTATAGACACGTGCACAGTGTAATGGGAGCTTTTGGTCTCAATGCATCCATCCTAGATGCAGCGAATCTGGCTTGGAAACTGGGCATGTCAGTAAAGAACCAAGCTCAAGCCAATCAGCTGCTGCGCACCTATGACCAGGAACGACGACTGCACGCAGCGCACATCATCGAAACTTCTGGGAAGTATCTCCGATTTGTCTGCAATTCTGCCTTGCCGACAGCTCGACTATACCATCTTGGGGCCGATTTGGGCATAAATGGTTCGTCTGGATTTGAGAAATTTTTCAGCACTTCTGAAAATAAGCCGAATGGTTCAGATTATCATTCTGAAGATATGAATCACTTGAATGATAAGAAGTCTAACGGAACGCTCATGAAAGACTTGAATGGCACGACTCAAAATGGCGTTGACGGCAGCGAGCAGCACGCTACATATTCGAAGAAAATATTCTTCGAGTCTCCCAAGAAAGCTAAAGAATTCATCCATCAATTCTTTGCTCGACATGGGCCGTTTCTTCTCGGTGTGGACAGTCCATATGGTATTAGTTGTATTAACCCAGGTGAGACAAAACTTGCTTCTCCAAAGGGATCCGCTGTACAAGTCCGTAATGGTGTACGTGCGCCAAATCCCAGAGTTTGCTTTGACGTCGGCCATACTGGCTATCTCTATGATAAATTCGAAGGTTCTAGTCGATTTCATTTGGTGGTCTTCGGCTGGGATGCACTCGGGGTAGTTCGTCAGCAGTTGAGTAAATTTTCTCAGGCATTATCTTCCTCTGCATCCGACAGTTTCTTTAACAGGTATGGCGGACGTGAGCTGTTTGATATTGTCTTTGTCGTCAAAGGAGTTCTATGGCAAGTTGAGAAACAGCTCGCTGCCGATGAGTCCATGACAGACTTAAAACACCATTCAACTGTGGTTTTCGATGATCGACCTCCTGATGAAGACGCTCACAATACATGGGGCGTGAATAACCGCACAGGAGCTGTAGTTGTTGTTCGACCTGACCTCTGGGTTGGGTTCAGCTGTGCGCCTCAAGATGTCGACGAGCTCAACAGGTACTTCGATGGCTTCTTAGTACCTAAATAACATCCTTCAGTACACGAAACGGTCTTCGGACTTTATTTGCAAGTCCTGCTGAATATCGGAATGACGCAAGTAGTCTTAGCGAGCGTATTTCGAAGCGCACCCATGATACTATTACTGATCACAACTTGCATATGTAATTTGTCCTTTGTTTAAGAAACTCTTTCAATCTATGAAAATGTAATTAGTTGATGAAAGCCAATAGATAATGGAGATCTTGTTCATCCCATTTATATATGTATGTATCTAGAGTGCAGATATTCTTTCCAGCTTTGTCAGAACTTGAAAGGAAGCTTTCATGGGCTACCACGGTTTGACGATCACTGTTGTCCCATACGGGGTTCAAGCTCCTATGGGCAGCCACGGTTCACTCCGTCATTTCTCTTCCATGTGGGTTCCAAGCCCCTAGGGGTAGCAGCCCGTATGGGAAGACCAAGCCATGATAGCCCACAGGAGCTTCAATCCCGCATGGGAGAATAGCTCACATGAGTCACCACAGTTTGTCTATCGCATGCGGGTCGTCATCCCATATGAGATTCAGCCTCTTATGGGCTACCACGACTTATCTATCGCACGCGGGTTGCCATACCTTGTGGAGTATTGTTTATTGTGGGATTGCGACTCATATGGGAGGCCGTAATTTGTGCAACCCCTGTGACCCATTGACTCCCGAGGGATCGTTTTTCATATGGGAAACCACGATTTTGTCATCGCACGCGGTCTATCATCCCATGTGGGCGGTGATCTTTTGAGGGATAAAATTTCCTATGGGGTATGATGGTTTATCCGTTTCACGCGGGTTGCTGACCCATACGGGATAGCATTTGATACCATGATTTGTCAATCCCCTGTGGAATCTTGTCTCATGAGGGCTAGTGCAGCTACAACGATCTGTCTATTGCACGAGGGCTGCCGTCTCATATGGGCTCCGGTGTGCGGTAACACGCCGATTCAGCCAATTGTTACCTAGAAGTTGGTTACGCTCTATCATGTTATAATACATGTAAGCCCCTTGGCTGTAACGTATTTCAACATCCCTAGCACTGATTTGGTTGTGAAAGCTGTTTTCTATGTATAAATATTGCTGTTGGGTGTACCTATTATTTTTGATAGTCATTAAACACAAATGTTGTGCCAAAGTCCAGTCGGTCTTGTAAGGGCTCATTCAATAGTCATATTGGAAGCTAAGTACAAGAATACCAAACATGGAGAAAGAAAGAAAAAGCTAGGAATGTGAGGCTATCTGCAAACAAGATGTATTGTCGTGATCACGTGACAGAATCACGAACCCCCCTACGTAACCCTAGCATGTGACTACGTAAACCGAACTCTGCGAATAACCTCATTACTGACCGTCACAGGTCTGGACTCAATGGTATAGGAGGTTAATCCAAGAGTTGGACAGGAGAAATTATCAATATGGTAGAAGGTCGTTCGGTGTCTTCAATCTTCATTAACAAGATACTGTTGCTAACCTACAGAGACTGAAGCTTGAGAAGAAAGAATCCTAGTTACAAGAAACCCCCTTCTTATGAATGTGTGGGTCATTGACAGGAAACCTCACATTGTCCATCTAATTGATATGGCTTGTCACAGATATCGCGTTGTACTGTTTCAGTACTGTTATAGGTGCACCATAACGATCGGGTTCCATGTAGGGATTAACATCCCATATCTAGAATTTTTTCTATTGGGCCATATCCCATATAGAATATTTCGATAGAGGAAAGTTCGATATCGTAACCGGAACTCGCTTTTGCGCTCTTTGGCCTGCTGCAACAAGCTGAGAGGTCAGCTCAGTACTCCCAACTTCCATATTCAAGGTTCAAGGTACATTTTTAGCAGCAACGACAGGTTGCTGCGCAAATAGTGCACATATTATTGTAAAGTGTATTGTAGCAATATCCGGCTGCAGCGAATACTGCACACTGTGAAGACCGATCATTGCATTGTTCTGCCTCTGGAGTGGGAGCTGCTATTGTCGGGACTAGCAGCATTCCTAGAGTGACAAAGAGAGCTATAGGAGAAATATGCATTTTGATCAAGAATAACGAAATGACTGAAGTAATTGATGTAAAGTTTTTTAAAAGGAACTCCAAATATTGATATGGGATGAATGTATAATGATATAAACAGAGAAATATAGGAGTGGTGAGAGCATATGGCTTACTATATGCTTATTAAGTATGTCCCAATAAGAGAGCTTTTGGCCCCTGATGCGTTATTTTGCCGTCCTGCTTGGCTGGGTAACTAGTTCATAACGTTGCTATTATTCCCTAGATGTCTTTACTAGCCTAATTTAGTAAAATACGTAAGAACTCACGCCAATAATTTTAACCCTATCAACCAACATCTATATAGTAGACGCTACACTATTTTACTACCGTACTAGCACTACCCGAGCAGGGTGGGGGGAATCATCGGGACGAGTAATGCCATTTGCTAAGGCGCTTGCATCTATTACTGTAAGCAGCGAAGGTCGCGGAGACGGATGAGTTTCGATTCCCGTGCCGCGATCCTTTGTGTTGGACTAAGGCGCTTACACCTATTACTATCAGCAGCAAAGACCGTGGGCACGGATGAGCTTGGATTGCCGTGCCGCGATTCCACCAAATTTATATTCATTCTCGACCAAGCAAAACCCCTGTAGAGGTACATCCAATATTGATAGTATTTTTTAGTTGAACGTGTAGAAGAAGTATTACATTCCCCCCAATTTTTACTAAGATTGTCAACTATTTCGTGCCTTTCGTTTCTTCTACATCTATTGATATGAGTGAGATTACAATCGACGGAGGCTGTCTCTGCGGGATAATCCAGTACGAACTATCGGGGGCTTCCATGCTAAACGCTCTCTGCCACTGCAACAACTGTCGAAAGGTGTCTGGATCTACTTTTATGGCGAATGGGGCCTATAAGAAGATAGTACAAAACCCATTTTCTATCAACATACCATATCAATTTTCTAATATGCTTACATTAGCAACTCTATATCCGCACCGGTCAAGAGCACTTAAAAACATACCATGACAGCCAAACCGATGCAGGACACACCATAGAACGCTCTTTCTGCGATAACTGTGGATCGCATCTATTCGCAGTGAATTCCATGCTGGAGGGAACGGTGTTTGTGACCAGCGGAACGATGAACCTTGATGGAAAAGAATGGACTCCGCAGCGGGAGTATTTCTGCAAAAGGAGATGGAATTGGATGCCACTTATTGATGGAACAGAGAGAATTAATGCGATGACATGATGTTGGAATTCTGCCCTTAGATAGTCAGCACCGCCTACCGGATGTAGTTAGCACGCTGGTAGCTAGATATTTCCGCTCCTAGGTGTCAGATATCTGGCATTCAAACGAGGCAGAGAGATCGACTGTTCAATCTTACAGGTCTAAAAGGCACCTTTAGGCATATATCTGGGCACCTAGATTTCAGCCCAATATTTACCTGTCGGTATAGCAATCTTGCCTATCTCGGCGCGGGAATGGGATATAGTTTATCCGTGCGCTATAGCGTACGGAGGATAACTACACCCCACCACCCGCATCCCCCTAGTTCTGAGGATTAGTCGCAATATTAGGAAATTCAGTATTACTGGCTCAGTCAGCTTGTTGGATTAGCTGTCCTTCTTAGATCTTGCGATCCAATGAAGGTAAACCAACATTACCCCTCCTGATAGCTCATAAATCACCCCGCCAAAGGTGTCTATAAAGGACCGGCTTTGAAACTTGAAAGACAGAGAGACAGAGGGACAACTCAATACATACAATCTTGCTAGTCACTTCTTTTCTTTGATCCTAGTAAAACACTCTTCAGGATTGGCCTGGAATAAACCGACTAATCCGACAGTACGCCCGCTGCCCAATTAGAAGGCGCCGCCAGCCACTAGGCTTAGATGCGTGTATGAATCAATCAATCAATCAATCAATTAATCAATCTTCTGGTGTCCCACTAGATTCCTTGCTTTCTTAGCTATTGGAAAGACACCAGGTTTGCGACAAAGTCCTTGCAATATACCACATTGTAAAGGCGCAAAATTTGAAAGTCTTCTACTAAGGCCGTGGATTTCGATATCCACCTCTCCATATCCTAAAATAGGTACTTGGTGGGTGCCTGTTCATAGGAAGTCTCCTGGCGTTGCTTTCCGGAAGTTCACAAACCTTTCTATCTTATTGAAAACGTGAATTAACGATCCTGAATCCAATAAAGCTGAATACTTTATATATTCATTGATTGACAGTGCAGCCAAATCCTTTTCTATATAAAGATAGCAAATCGATCTGCAGCTGCCTACTGCCAACTTAAATAGTCAATTCGAACTTGCTGTTTCTCCTTGGAAAGTGGCCTCATTCTGAGTATTTTGAGCTGTAGATTCTCGTTGCTTTTGGGATAGACTTCTAGAGTGAGACTATTCTCTCCCTTGAGAAGGAGCTTGTCCCTATTCTTTAGTTAGTACACGCCTTACCTCTTTTATTAATGGTACATTGCTATTGAGCTATCTATCTGCTCTTTGTTGAAGCTAAAGCTTTGGTTCGAACTCTTGAGGAGCCTTGTAATCAAAGATATAGAAGTAGAAGTCAATAAAGTATATGCTCCTATATGCAGGGCAGGTCAGTTTAGGTCCACCCCTTTTATCTAGAGCAAATTTACTGTGTCGTCCTCCTTTGAACAATTGTAATCATAAATATTGTTATCCACGCTCTGCAGATCTCTCTTGCTACGAACTCTCTTTGTTCTCCTCTTCGTTGTCGTCACTCTTGCTCAGATAAGTAGCCAAAGACCCTTTTATTATATAGAATTATTGTTTTATATAGAGTTGTGGGATGGGTCTCCGGAAACTGTTTGATAGATCCTTATAGGTAAGAGATCCGTCATCAATCTTTGGATTGATTGAGTGCTCAAAAGACATTACCCACACCTCATCTAGTGGTCGAATAGTCCTGAGAAACTGAGATGCCCAATCCTCTGTATCTTGGGTAAAGAACATGAATTTCTTACTTCCTTGAAGCATAATTTCTTCCCACTTGACTATCCAGGTCTCCGGATCTCGCGGAGTGCCTCTGAAAGGTTTCATATGCTGATTATAGTCATCTTGTATATGTTGCTGAATTTCCCGCGATCCTTGACCAACTTGTGCTTTCAAATTATTGTACGCTTCCTTCCAACTGCGTGTCACATACACACAAGTCTTGAGATAGCTGTGGCACACGGTCTGCTTCATCCATTCGAAGATTTTATCGATATCTCTATGTTGAACCTCACACTCACTGAATTCCATCTTGTAGTTGTTGAGACATAGGTTAAAATCATTTCTTGCTCTCTGCTCAGCGCAGCCATCGACTGTATCTTCATTCATAGTGCTTGGTCGATTGAGCAGAGTTCTGACGTGTTCCTTGGGCTGCACCTATCTAGGCTTGTGCAGGGTTCTAGGGTTTAGGCAGGTAGTCCTGCATCTTTGGTCGAACAGGTTTCTTGATTGGTTTCTCAGTTCCCTGGAGGATAGGAAGAAGATCGTTGGCTCTTGCTTGATTGAGAAGTTCGTTTTCCCAATTGTCCCAATCCTCTGGGGAATTGAGCTTATACTCGGTGGCAACGTTGGACAACATATTGATATAGAGCCGGTAGGGGTAGTCAGACTCTTAATTGTTGGATTGCTGGGTTTACTCCAGGCCAATCCTGAATAGTAGTTTTACTAGAATGAGTTCTCCGTCTCCCCCCCCCCTCCTCCAATACATCATGTTCCAAAGCCGGGTTTTTATAGATATTTTTGCGGGATGAATTGTAAGTCATCATGAGGGGTAAATTTGGGGGCTATATGATAGAGCTTCTGATTGTTCACCTCGTTTTACTGCTTCCGGACATCCGAATTATCTGATAGTTGTTTGTTGAGGCCAGAAATGCGAGAAAGATTATGTAATTAGCGCACTAGTGCCCTAAGTTATAGGTTTAATCCCTCCGGGCGTAACAAACATCATTCATTCAATCCCTCGTGGAAAGTCACCTTCTCGTGGTGAGGGACGTCAGTAAGCTGGATTGCATGGTCTAGCTGATGTGGAAAACTTTGCAAGTCGAGATTCCGGTGAAAACCCCTTATCGGTTGGAGCGACCGGGCAAGAGGGCTTCACAAGAACACGTCTACACCTTCGGCCGCGTCGACGAGCCTTCTGGTCGTTTGCCTACCTGCCACCAATCGATACTCACCGGATTTTGCTAACAGTAACTCACCTGCCCTACCGGTTCGGCCACGTTTCGATTCACCAGTCCTTCGTTTGCTATCTGGAGTTGTCGCCAGCGAGGCATTCAGCTACTTTAAGCGCTATTTTGAGAAGTACTCTTGGTAAATCGCTACTAAGGGAAGAGGTTCACAAAACTGCACCCAGAATGGATGCGCGGGCAATCCGGTCCCAGAGGGATGGGTTATTGCTTTTGGGGGAATATGACTACAACGACAAGAAGGGAATGTTCAAGACATAACGTATGGGCTAGAGGGGTTTTTGCAGCGGATACAGCTTTTCCTCTCGACATGAGACCATGACCACAGTCTATGCAATGCAGGACAAATAGCGTATTGGAACCCTTTAGGCTTGGTGCCTCGGGCGTAATGAATTTACTACTACTACTACTACTATACTTTATAGACACCTGTGTCCAAGTTTTCTCTCCTTAGATAGACTACAATCAACACACACAGCTACAAGTCCCACTCAGGCTTTCAAATCGGCACTTATTGTTTGATTCTGAAACTAAAAATACCGGGACTATCCCATCCAAACCAATCGGAAATTGCTTTGCTTTTATATTCTTCTTCTTCTCCCCCCTCCTTTCTTTACTTTCCTCCGGCTCAATTCCTCAAAGATCTTACACCGGCCCGTGTGTATACATGTCCTTCCCGTTCTGTCTATGATGTTGTCATTTTCATTAATCATTCCATAGAGCCACATCCGTCGCATCGGTAGCTTGCTATGCAAAAATCATTCTTGCCACATCACTATTCGGTGTAGTCAACCCTTTTGTTACAGGATGATAAGCCGAGAATAACCTCAGTCCACACCCGGAAAGCGCCCTGGTTACCAGCAGCATCCACCCAGGCGAACGACCGCAGAATGCCAAGAAGATGGGCCCAGTTCCAAATTGCCAACTCTTGGCAAAGCCGCTGGACCATAGAAACAAACCAGCGACGATTTGAATTTCGATCCCCAGCGGAAATAGCCGCAATAATACTAGGCCATAGGAGCAATTCTAAGGGTGTTAGTTCTGTTACTGAGCCAATGACGCGCGACAGACTGGTTCTAACCGCAGAGAGCAGGATCTCCCGATTTTTCAAGGACCGCGGAAGAGGAAATGTAACATGAATAGCGTATAAGAGCGCGCTATATCGACACATCAGATAGATATCACGAGATTGATTAATCTCTCTCATAGAGGTGTCCGCTTCATCGAGAATCGATTCAGGAGGATCATTCTGGCTGGGGAGGCTTAGGAGCTGATGGTGGACCAGATTACGACAGTCACCCAGATTCTGCAACATTGAACTGTCACTGGTATGAACAGTATGTAGCGCCTGTGACAGTTGGCATAGGTGTAGGAATACGCTTGTAATGCAACTTTTGACTGGTGGATTTAGTAAACGAAGCTGAGAGAACCCTTGGTTGTACGTGAGATGCCTTGCTAATTCCGGGACCCGCAACATGAGTAATGGCGGGCTGCGAATAAATGGTCGGCCTTCCAGATCATACAGCGGATATGTTGGCTTGGTTAATGTGTTGGCCGCATTCATGAGGTCACATCTTATTTTTTGACATTAGCTAGGTTTCAAGATCAATTGAGCCGAGAAAACGTACAGAGATAAGAGCCACCCAAGACGATAGAGCTTCAGTGTTTGAATACCACCTCGGAGCTGAACGCACTGGTGAACCATACGCCAGTGCGATGGGTGGGTTGGACAAGTGCCGTAGATGTTAAGTGCATGTAGGTCTATGAAAGGGGGTGTGAAGGGAGAGAGATCGCGCTTGGTAGATGCGGCTTTAGGATCGGGATGTGCAGCCAGATAGAGAATACCCATGATCAGACTATCAGAAACACCACTTGATAGATGGCCAGATAGCCGTTCCCGCAACAATCTCAGGGTCATTCCCTTGTATACTAATTGTTCTTTAGATTCGAAGTCGGTGTTTTCTGGTCCGTAGATGATCCTCATACCATCCCGATGGACAGATGAGGCAAAGAGGTAAGCGCATGTTAAGATCTCCCTGTCTGGTTCGGCCATCCATGACATATAGCAGCGTCGCGCGTGGCCGACGTCACGGAATGCCGGCCAGATAACCTTAATCACTAGACGAAACATTAGTATAATTCTTTCTTAGTCAAGCCGAGACTATGGAAAACCGACTATGATAGGTCAACTCGTTATATGCGGGGCCAAGTGCAATAGTATTGGGCATGAACGGATCTAGTCTCCCTGTACTTATAAGCGATTGAGGACTAGGGATCGTTGCAGCATTCGCTGCAGGGTCTCGCGGACCACGAACTGTACTTCCACATTCATTCGTCACTGACACGGAGATACATCCCTTTGGACGAAGAGTTCGTATGTTTCGTCTTATTGTGTCATGTGCTCTAAGAACCATTTCATTCCCCACATCTTGCTGACAGGTAGTACGTGTAGTCGAGACCGCCCTTTGCGCTTGTAACATTTGGTTGAGCTTCAATGCCTGTTCGCTCCGGTATCTTGATAGTCTGTCCGTATAAACGCGTCGCATTAGTGCAGACCGCGCGGATTGCGACTTGTTGTCTGTAGGAGTGCAATTTAATGATGGTCCATCCACAAATATTAGATCTGGCTGCTGGCTATGTGATTTGGTTGTCATTTTAATGGCCGTCAGCAGTACCAGGGGGTACTCGACCACAGAGCACAGAAAGCTGAGCAAATCTCAAGAGGTAGTAACCGCAGGTGACCACAGGGAGGGATGTCTAGCCGTGAGAAGCTGAATAAGAACCCTTGTTGATTTATGACTTGTGGATATCCTACAGGAGAAAGATAACTTGGGATTACGCTTATGCACCATCGCCGAGGGTACGAAAGTCAAATTCTGTACAGTGTGGAGATATACATGATAATTAATTACAGCTAATTACGGTTGGGGCTCTCTTATTTGCTGGTCTAGCTAATCGCTGGTGTAGCTGTGTATGAAAAAGGCCCAAATACGCCCGGATTACACGCTATTTTCTAGCGTATTGCCATCACCTTTGACTCTTAACTAAATTACGGAAGTGGGCGTCAAAAGTTTATATAATGCCAAGCCGCTAAAATATATTAGTAATATATGTCATATATTTTACCTCGTTTTATAAGAATACCTTATTATAGTACCATCAGAGGAGTTCTAGAATTTCCCATATAACTAAAGCTCACACTAAGCCTAAACTGGCAAGACCACCCTCCAGAGTTCAAGAGAATTCGCTCTGGAGTTCAAACATCAACAACTACTCTAATATGGGATGCAGGGTATCAATTCTCTTGGTATATACCCAGAATCTCATTGTATTTGGCCGTAGCAATTATCTAATAGAGGCTTATAACCAATTAAGGAAGGACATGTTGTTAGAAAGACTCGGAGATAAACCGAGGTGCAGACGGTAGCTACGGCGGACTTTATCTACCTCAAGAGCACTAGGGTCCAGGCAATTTTTCCTAGCACCGCCTGCACACTAACTTAATCCTACAACAAATATGGTTAGAAGCCAAATCGCGTAACGCGCTTTGCGTTTCCTCAAGACGCGAATCACGTAATAGTCACCTATTTACCTGATTAGTGCGGTATCATCAACCCTAGTTGATCGTCCCCACCAGTATTTTATCTTTCTGATTCTCTTTAGACAACTTTCAATCAAGTAGCAGACTTGACATATAGGGCTGTTGCGAATACGAATATTCGCAGTGATCAGCAATATTCGTTATTCGCATTCGCAATTCACACATACTGCGAATACGAATGATTATTCGCAATATATCACGTGCAGCAATCAGGTGACGCACAAAGGAGATATCAAACAGCTGAAGATAGCTTTGCCTCTTACTCTTTCCTTTCCTTCTTATGCTTAGTATTCGCGTTAAAAAGCACCAATATGATCAATCCTTCTTCATAGCGACAGGCTCCTGGCATCTCCCAATCTTCTCGTTGAACAATGACCTCTCTATTATTTTCACTTCCACAGATTTGCCTACAGATCTCGATCGTTTCCGCTGGCGATGCAGACTGGTGGAAATCGTCCGAACTACCTCGCTCTAAACGACGGCTATCAGAGCGATGAACCTCCTGAAAACGTGACATCTAGGCTATTTAGGAGTCCAACAGCCCAATTTCCAGGAATAGGCCCAGTATTTCCATCTCAAACCCCTGATCCAACTGAATCAGCAGTCAGTGCTCATATCGATTCTTATCTTGAATCTTTAGATGATGAAGTATTGCCTACAGACTCAGCATCTCAGCTTCCAACTAATGCTATAAGTTCCTAAATTTCCTACGTGTGTGACGGTTCGGCGTGAGGTTATTCGGAAGCGGGGAAGTTGTTCTAGTCACGGATGGGAAGGGTTGTGTTGGATATTTGATACGCTAATTCCAATCCGGATGTCATTACTAATAATATTTCATATACTTTTTTAGACCTTCTTTCAATGCAGAAGCAATATCAGGATCTAATTCCTTGAAGGACCCTTGTAATTCTGAACCTTCAGATAGTAGATCATGAAGTTCATAATAAACTGGGATAGCAAGGCTGATTTGTGGTCTCCGTTTTGACACAAATAATGTAAGTTCATTGAACTTAGTGAGTATGCGATGAATCTGAGATAGACGTTCCCAATTACTATCGGTAAAAGAAGGGATATCGGTCTGTAATGATATAAATTGATTGATTTGAGCTTTAGCCTTGAGGCCATCATCAAGCATCCGGTATGTTGAATTCCAACGATTTTCCACATCATATTGAATATATTTTCCCGAAAGACTCATATATTCACAGACTTGCTTCCATTTTTGTCTTCTTTGAGGACCGCGGTTAATCCAAAGAGTGAGAAATTGAAGCTTTGCTAATGCTGATTGTGCTTGTATATATTCTCCATTTTGAATTCTATCATAGATCTAGCCATGCCCCAAGCAGTACCACCTATAGAAAGAAATATCTATAGAGATAGTCCTCCTAGCGGGTCATTTCCAACCATGAGGACACTTCTATTGGCGCACTATAGCTCTGGATCGTGTTGCTAGTAATGTTGATTATAGCCTCTCTCTGCGCTAAAACAGCGTTGATATCAGCTTCGATCCAGCTTGCTTTGGATAATAGCGCTGTGAGCGGCTCCTGGTTAATAGGTAATAAAGAAGTCACAGTAAAGTATTAACTTCCTATGCCTATTATGAAGAACTGCTAGTAATACACTCTGGGGTAAATATAGACATGGTGGGTGAAGGCACGGGAAGGACCTCTTGGGTTTTTAGGGATCTCTGCATGCTGGCAGATATGGACTCGCATAGTATCTTTAAAAATAGTCACATAGGAACATGTCGCGTTCGAACAGCGGTATCTAGAAAAAAGAGGAAGATTTGGGATAGGAGGACTAGTACATAATAGGAATTGCAGGCTCTCCTTTTGGGATCAATCCAAGGTTTTTTTAACATTTCCTCTAAGATTCGCTGTCGCTGGATCTGAGTTTTAGTTCGATAATCATGGCCATGTTTCTGTGTCAAATGTGCCAGAAGATGGGATGGTGATATCGCATATCGACACGGCTTGCAAATCCAGATCTGGTAATCTGGAACGTACTGGAACAGCTCCATTGGTTAGAAATTGTGTATATAATCACTTTAGGCTTGATAAATAATCAAATAGAGAGATAGAAATTGTATGAACTATCCTTGGATCTGCGATTGAGTTAGAGACAATTATGTATCTCGATATCACTATAAGTCTCCTGTTATGATGGGAATGGAACTTGCCTTCCAGATGACCGATGCTCTTCCGAATGAGTACGGTATGAATGTGGTCAAGGGGATCCTTTGGATAGTGTTTGAGGTGATTCTTTCTTTGTCTCCTTTTTGGTATCCGGCTGATCATGCCCCTGTACAGACTGCAAAAAGACGCGGGGAGAATCGAGCGAGGATTTTAGAAGCCTTTGAAAGTATTCCTGAGACTATTCTGACAATCAACTTCTCCTGTAGTTTGTTGAAACCTACTGCAGAGGATGAGAAACTTCGGCAAGATTTTCATCGTGAACTTGTGAAGCGTATGCCTGAGTTGATTGATATTCTTCTTGGGAGGGCACCCTGTACGAATATCAAGTCCCCCGTATTTATGGTTATCGGTGGTTGACTGGTCGGTTTCGTTATTGCAGGGTTTCAACGAGTCAAAGGTTACATGACACTCAAAGTCAGCGAAACGGCCAAGATTGGTGAGATACTATCCGAGTGGAATCAATACATAACAACCCTCAAGAACCGAGTCATGCAAATGAGGGATAGACTACAGAGCGAGATTGCATACCACAGCGCCGAAGCACATCAGATGGGAGTCCAGACGTACAACAAGCTTGGCACGTTCGATAGTCGCTTTGATGAGATACAATCTATAATTGTGGGCTTGGGGCCAGCGATTATAGCCCAAATGCAGCAAGAGTTTGGAAAGAGACTCCAGCAGCTGGAACGTTCCGTTCAGGCTCGGTCTTTGGGAGCACAGGCGCAGACCATTCTTTTCCAGGGATGGAAAGTTTGATTTCACGGCCAATTACCCCGTTGGCTTTGACATCAATAGCCCGCAGAATAGTAAATCTCCTTTCCCTTTTTCCGTGGATTTAACCTGGGAATAAATTGATTGTAACTCTTAGATCCTGATTTGGAGCGCCAGGAATACGACTTCGCTGGCTCTCAACTATATACCCAACCCACGCATGGCGAATCATACGCGATTATCACACAACTGGAGCTTCTGGGCCTCCTTCGAGTGGGACCTTCTACAGCTCTAGAGGATCTAGAGTTTATCCTGCAACAATCGAACAGAACAACTGAGTTATCACTCCAGCAAGTGTGGTGGCTCAATCGGATGGATGAATTCATCACCTGGTATCGCGAGCCTTGCTCTTCGCTACTCCTAGTCGACGGACACCTCGATACCACGCCATCAGACAGGATCTCGCCCCTGTCGATTTTCGACGCAAGCTTTGTACTCAATCTAGTCCAGAGCCCCTCTCGAATCACATTTTTTTTCTTCGCGGGACTCGTCGACGGTGAGGATGAGGAGAAAGACGCCAATATCAATGATCCATGCGGGCTTATCCGCAGCTTGATTTCTCAACTGCTATCCCACGAGAGCCTTCCCCAGCCTGATCTCCGCTTCCTCACGCAGGAATGGATTGAGCAATGCGAGATGAATAATATTAAAGCTTTGTGTGACCTATTCAAGTGTCTAGTCTTCCAGGTGCCCGCGGATATGCAGGTATTTTGTATTCTTGACGGGTTGGTCGTCTACGAATGTGAACCCCTGTGGAGGGACGAAATAGATTATATGGCCACCCTCTTTCAGCATATGACTCTGAAAACTGGATTCAATGGCATACCTGTAGTTAAGACACTGTTTACGTTCGCTAATAGAAGCTTGCAGATCTCTGATAGAGTCGACATGTACCCGGATATCTGGAAACATGCGACTCTGGCAGCTGGGCATATTGATGTCATGCCTTTGATGATATGAAGCAGGCTTGGCAATAATTAATGAATTAGGCTCGGTGTTGGTTTATATGTGCAATCGAGATTCCTGGCACCGACGCGAACCAAGTGTCGGAACGTTGGTTTACTAGAGCGATGACTAAGCGAAGGCGAGCACTAAACAATACGTTTATTGGTGACCTCACTCAGTCAAGATAGGCAATGTATATATAGTTTGGCCGCACGGGTCACCTGTCGTTGAGGTCTTACGCGCAAAGCGTATGACCACAACGTCAGAGAGGGCCCCGTCCGCGCTCCCTTGGGGAGGCAATTGTCTGTATTGTAATGGCACTATGAATCTATGTACATAGGGAGGTGGGTGGAAAAAATCAAGTCTTGACTGCGTGAGAGATGACGAGCAACTTGTGGAGGGGAGCGGCTGACTCTCGTGAGGCAGTTGTAAGAAGGAAGAACCCCGCAGTACGCAGGACGTTAGGTGAAGACTAATCCGCAGTTGTCAGCGTGCTACACCCGTGGATCTCCCTCCGGCGCGGAACAACTATAATCCGAAAGTCATGTGATCTCCGTAAAGGGGTCAGCGCAGCTGTAGTTAGCTTAGATAACCAATAATAACAACCAGCACATCAACAAGCTTGACGAGGTCACGTGTACCTTCACGTGACCTCTCCTCGGTCCGCGTCGGTGCCAGGAATCTCGATTGCACATATAAACCAACAGGATAAGAATTATCCGGAATTAATTCAAGCGGGAACTAATTATTGCCAACACTGATATGAAGCCTTCTATTTCCTCTTTCGAGATTATAATCTACCTACTATGTGTATGATGTCTGTTTTATGTGCAGCGCAGAGTTATTAATATACAAAGAATCAAAAAGGTGCTTCAAAATCTGACTTTTGCGACCTGAAATCCAGTTGTCATCATGAATGATTCTTCGACTGTAGCTGTTATTCTCTCAACCACTTAAGAATCAACTTCACTTTGATAAAATCATTTTTTGAATAGTCAAGCTATTACTTGAGGGTTTTTGAGGTCTGCTGACGTACGTTGGTACATCCAAAAACATAACTACTGATATTTGATATGACCAACAATCAGAGTAAATTATACTACATGTCTTGAACACAGCCAAAATGGCTATCTCTTTATCTGACCTTCCACTTGAGGTCTTGACAATCATTCTTCGACATGCGCCAGATCTTCCATCAATCTACAAATTCATTTGTGCATCTGCAAGTGCTAACGCAGCATTTCAACTTAGCCCAGCTCGTATTTTAGACCCCGTGATAGAACGCTCTATCCCGGAGTTCAAACATCTAGCGCGCATGATTGCCATTCTAGGCTCATTCTTAGCGATATCACCACATCTTACCTTTGAGCAGCTGGTCGACAAGTACAACAACGATCTACCAGAAGATGTGCTTACTACAGCTTCAGCATCTTTTGCCTTTGCAACTGGAACACCAGGTCCTCGCTACCTAGTTCTTACAGCATACCGCATAGAGATTCTTCAACATATATGCTTCGTCTCTCTTCTCCAAAATATCCATGAAGTGATATGGTACATTCCATCTACGGATAAAAGAGAGCCAAATTCTTATCCAATAAAAGGTAAAAACAATGTCTGCTTTCGAGCGGCTGCCTGGTGGTCGCCATCCTGGGCTGAAAAGATGCGCATTACGCGAGCATACTGGAATAGATGATTTATTGGAACATCAGAGCAATTCGTCCCGACCTACAGGAGACGGAGGATTACACATTTTCTCGCTATCGTGCCAAAATACAGAATATCAACCCCTGCATTGGACCATTTTAATACACATCATGAAATCGAAGAAATGAAGTGTGTGCTGGCAGCAACTCATGAGGTTTTCAATTATGATTACCCTAGTAACAAATTTGCGCCTTTTACTAGTCGGGAATATTCACGGATTTTTCTGGCAGAATGGACACTTTCCACGACTTTCAAGAAAACTTCACACTGGATGTTCGAAGACCCGAAGCCTGTGACAGAATCCAAAGAGGAGTTGCATAATGGGCAATTACGCCTAAGCGTTGACGAGTTGAACAGTAGCTACAGGTTTTCTTATTGGTCTACCTGGTTTAATAACTGGATTACCAGGCTCATAAAGTCGGGCGGCTATGACCCCCAATTTCCGGACTACCTTGATCTCTGTATCTGGGACTACAAACGACAAGGTTACCTCGGACTTGCACATATGGATGATAGGTTCATCGATCCGCTATTGGGTCCTTTGAGGAGCTCTGAAACCCATTTTACATGGTCACTGCTATAGTGAAAATCGTAATCAACACAACAGGCACCAAGATATAATGGTTCAGGTAGCCAAGCGGAGGAAGACTGTGTTGAAGAAGCTTCATCTGCACATCTTCCCGCGGCAAGAAGATGCCAGTTGCGTGAGTAACCATCCTCGATCTTCGTTCTGGATGTTCCGGACGCTGTAGGAGATATGCAACGGGAATCCAGAGATTGCTAAGAGCTAAATAGGCAATATGTAGCATAGGCGGCCATGCTACCGTCGTGAGCAATGTCATGAGCAAGGTTTGAGGAGTAGTAGAACTACCAGCGGCGTAGTCGCTGCTCAATGCTCCGTAGAATGAAAGCAGAAATGTGCTTAAGATCGCAAAGAAAAGGAAGACGCTATAGAGAAGTCCGTTGTTTAACAAATCTTTGCGCAGCTTTTTGTATTTTGAAAGTTCCATCATGCGGTTCCATGAGTTAGCGCTGCTGCCGGTGACGAAAGAACCCTTCGGTTTATTCGAGACGCAGTGGAATCGAATGATCGCAAGGATATGGGCTAGGTGAAATGTTAGCCTGGTGTCTGCTACTAAACTTCCATGGAATCAGATGTCGAATACTTACTGCTTGCCAGCCAGCTGTTCTCCAAATGGGCAAAGGGCGCGATGCGAAACCCCGTATGGGCGGCCTGTACCAATCCATGAGTCCAAGTCAAGGCAACATGCAACACAGCCAAAACGACCTGAATCTGTACTATCAATGACGAGCTCGCTGGAATCAGATTTCCTGAAGCAAAAAGTATGGGAACAGCAGCGAATCCGACCATGTAGCCGACCAATCCGAGGATAATGAGCACTCCATTAAAGGTGATACTCCATTGCAGATGTCGCGGAATGGCCTGGTTTGCATCGGAAAACAACACGGACGGCTGTTGCGAATGTCCAAGCTGCCATCTGTTCCTTTGGGCAATATGGCCATCCAATGAAGACGGCACCAACCCAAATTGTAAGGGTTCCAGCACCTGAAGCGTCCGATATCCGAGCCCCTGCAGCATTAAGGAGAGCTGCCAATCCTCAGAAAAGGAAAAGGTTGGATATCCGCCGACATCAACGATGGCTTTGCGACGAAAAACGGCACCGGACCCTGCATCAATAGCTGCAGCCATCCGATCAAGCTCAGAATTATGGCATGTGTAAAAGTGTGCGCGGGACTGTTGCAACGAGTCGCCATCTGGCAAATTGTAGTAGTATTGCCGTGTTGTGAGTAAAGCAGCCTGGGGATCTCTAAGCAGATGAGGCAGCGTCGCTCGTAAAAAATCAGATTTGGGCACACAGTCAGCATCCAGGACCGCGCAAAATTCCGGCTGGGCCTCAGGCTGCAACTCGAAAAGCGCATAGTTGAGGTTTCCAGCTTTGGCAAAGACACGACCGGACTGCTGTCCCCGCGTGTGATAAGACAGGTGAGGCCATTGGGAGCGTAGGCTTGCAACAGCATCACGCAGCGCATTCGAAGCTCCGTCATCTAGCAGGAGTACTCGGAAATGGATGGTTGGATAGTCCATGGAGCAAGCCGCGTGGACAGTATCCAGAACCACGTCCGTTGGCTCTCCACAACAGGGGATCAGGACATTGACTCGAGGCAAATGGTCGTTACCAAGGAGTCGAAGTCTGTCCCTAGGACGGCTTTGACCTGACTTGCTTGCTGATACCGTGAGAAACTGGTCATGGCGGGGTATACCTTGCAAAGAGTCAGTTTTTATCAACATGTATCACCTGAATTTGTTCTTGACTTACGAGCGAAGATATACTCGACAAGAAGCATGAGCCATATTTGCCATGTCTGTTGCGGTGTAGTGATCACTAATAGCAAGCGCACAAGGAAATAGAGCTGAAAGGCCCAGATAGCAGCCTGGGATATGAAATAGAGCGCCTTTCGGTACTTTAGACTAAAGCGAATGTGATCATCTGGTGGAAGTTCCAGTATGTCATACTCATGTTTCGATAGCATTGCGGGGCAATGATCAAGCAATTGATTATTCTTTGCCGGTATTGACTTCAGAGGCACTTGTACGTTCGCACTTCTCAAAGGCTTTGCTGAATATTTCCTGGAAACGAAACCAAGATGGTTCTCTAAAGCTCCCTCATGATGTTCAAGGTTTAGAAATCATTGAACAAGTGGCAGGGGGTCCAAAACATCCAAATAGAATATCTAAAAATGTTGTGGCTCTATTCCCCTGAATGTCCGTGTCGGTGTGCGTGTGGCTTGTCTACATGCTGGTCGATTGGCTGGCTTAGAATAGTGTTTACGTGTTGATCCACTACCGGTAACGTCCGGATCGGGCTAATATGAAGTTTCACGATGAATTTTCTGGCTAAGAAATGATATTTTCCCTCATCGTTCTGGCATCTGGAGAAAGAGTTGTCGGAAATTGGAAAGAATGGTTACTTTGGTATAGGGCCACGATTTAGGCACACCCGCGTATCATACAACCACACCCCATCTCCTAGTCGGGTGTTACGGGCTAGTCCCGCCTAAGGCCCACTATAAGGGCATATTTGAATAGAAAACGTAACATAAGGAAAGGAAAGAGAAAGAAAACAACAAGTTCTTCACGCGCGTACAATCTTATATAGGCAAGGGGAATCCAGGTTAGACCTCGAGAGGAATCGCGACTCTCTAGATTCGATTCCGGTTTGGAACCGCCAAGGTCCAAGACTTTGGGGTCGAACCTCAGGTTCCACAAACAAGACAAACAGGTGAGTCCTATGATTTGTATAATTTTATGTAGATCTAGCCTGTATTTTTGCGTTTTCAGATTACGCGCAGAATGGGATTAGAGGACTGTCACAACATAACTTTTGATAACTGAATACTAGACAACATGAATTTTAAGCTCAATACTATCTATTTGCTCTTCTATGGCTTCAGGTACTCCCATACCATCATCCTGTTTAGAGCGCTTTATAACTCTCCCTGACTTGCGCCTTTGAGTACTACTCTGATCACACAGGTGGGTATTATCAGGTAAGGGAATCTCATCCTCTTCATTTCCTTCTTTATCTTCTTCTTCCTCTTCCTCCATATTAATTGTAGGAGCTGCCTGTCAAGGTCTCTTACCAAGCGCAACTGCGGTTAGAGATTGTATTGGTTGCATTGGAACATCCCAGGGATCTTCTTCTATATCACTTATTGGATTGAATTCGGGGTCTCAAACTTTATTAGCAGCATTTTCCTCAGTCCGCGTCTGAATCTCTTGTGTAGAGATATATTCTTCTAATAGTGTAAGCTGTTCAGATTCAATGTCAAACCTAGATATACACATAAACATTATTAGGTCCTGGATTATTTTTGACTTTAAAGACCCTCGGCGGTAATGGTAGATATCACGAGCTGAGTTAAATAGTCGTCCCACACCTAAACCAGTAGCAGGAATAGCAAGAATATCCTAGGCAAGATGGGCAAGTACTAGGAAGTTATGTTCATTCTCCCAGAATACACGCGGACTACATGGTTTGGTCGGACCTATGGATAATTTTAGTAAAGAAGAGTCAAAAGAGAATATAAAATAGCTTACTGCTTCTAAGATATTGTGTGAGTTCGTCATTTGTATTGGCCTCTAGTTGAAGGGGCAGTTGTAAAGCAAGTGCCATGTCAAGATTAGAGATATGCGCGGCTGTGGATTGAATATATGATGCAGGCTGTGTAGCCTGTGCTTCCAGGTATCGCTGTTGATAAGACTCAAAATATTTCTCTATATGTGGGTTCGCTTCTGCACATGTGCATACAAGTAGCTTAGTAACCAATTGGTAAAGTCATATTCTTCTGATTGTCTGTCTCTTCTCTTAATGAGACCCCGACGCGGTCTATATAGTCCTTGCTTGACGAGGTCACGTGTACATTCACGTGACCTCTCCTTGGTTCGCGTCGGTGCCAGGAATCTCGATTGCACCTATAAACCAACACTATACTTTTCCAATATTGTATACAGAATTTCTCACCCTAATCCTTCCCTGTGAAGAACTGGAGTTTATAATACGGAGCAATAATCATAGCAATAGCATAGATATTATCAAAGACCTTATCAGTTTCCATGTAGTAGTCTGACAGCTTTTGTTTTGCGTGTCTAAGGGCTGAGAGCATGGTTGCTTTCCATTTTGTCTTCTTGCGTGCAAGCTGTGTAATTAACTTTTCTAGATGGCTAAATAATAGATTATAAATAGTAAAAACTGAATGGATAGTCGTTTCCTTAGTCTTCGAGAGGCAGGTTGTGTAATAATAGAATAGCTTTGTGAGCGAAAGGAGGTAATTAATTTGCCGCTATTTATTTCCTAAATGTCTGTTCTGGTGAAAGCGTGGCCCGTTTTGTCGTCGAGAGACGCTGCTTTAAGCGTCGCTTTCACCAGGGGGCCCCACCTCGTCACGGCCGCTAGACAGGGAATACGGCACCACGACTTGGTCCATTTCTGGCCTTCCCCCATATCGTCGTTTCCTCGTTCTACCATCACCTCACATTCAGTGGTCAAACCGGAAAGCAGTCTGAACAGACAGCACCGCTACCATGTCGTTGCGTCGAGACCGTGCGAAATGCGAAAAGGCGCCTTTGCGATTGCTCTTTCTCGGCGGCTCGCTGACGCTGTTGGTGGGCCCTGGAGGTGAACCGACCTGAATCGATTTCGACCACGCTTTTCTGAGGGCCTCAAATCGTGACCGGCTGGTGAGGCCGAATATGGCTTCACGCCATCCCATTTCCCTCGTTCCAGCTAAAACGCTTAGCCTTGCCGCCATGTTCCTCTTACCTTCTCGTCCTTCCATCTCTACGAACTCGGCCCTCCCTCTCGTCCACGTCCCGCAACCTCATCTCACGGTTCGATATGGGTCGTCGAAAGATTTTGGGAACAGTCACGCTGCAATCGGGGGGCTCGTACACAGGGTGGTCGGCTTCTGGCGTCTGTTCCCGCGAGGTCTTGCAGCAGAAATTTGATCAAGCTCTGACGGAGACTCGTGCGACCACGCTTTACGCCGAGACAACAAAATGCCATATCGAACGGATGGAAAAGTATTGGACCGAGTCTGTATTCTCTACCCGTATAATCTGGGCACGCTACTGACGAGACCAGATATTGTGCTATCTTCGCTCTTGAGCCACACGAGACACTGAGAGAGTGTCAGACTGCTCGCATAGAGAACTTCCTCCACTGGATAGTGACAACCTGCACGATCAAGAAAACAAGCACTGTCACAACCTACTGGCGGCAACTGAGCCAGCTACACATCACTTGGTGGCAATGTCGGGTCTCACCCCAAACTCTGAAAGAGGTCTTCGTGGTATGAGCCCTGAAATATCCGCCACTTCTGCATAACAGCCTTGGTGTTGACTCCGTCCTAGTTCATTGAAGGTTCTTTGACGAAAGAATATGGCTTGGATAACACCGAAAGTGAGAAGCCACTGCTCGAGGCCGAAGAATTTATCGAGGTCATACAGTATCACTGGGCCGCTGACATCAACGTCTTTCCCAACGAGCGACAACGTGTCCAGGTTGCGGCCATTCTCCTGCTGGCCGCTTACACTGGCTCGCGGCCGGGGGCACTTCTCAACATCACCTATCGTGACCTACGCCTGTATGTGGAGAAGCACCGCAAGACTGGCAAGCATGAGCTAAAGCTTGCGGTAACACTGACGAAAATTAAATCCGGGCAGAAGCGGAAACGGCCGTAAGTAATTGATATCCGTTAGATTTCGCAAACATGACTGAACACAATCGTACGTGGTAGCAAAACCTACCTTTTCCATCTTGATGAGAACCCGGTGTTTGCATCATCACCCACATGATTAGCATTGCCTTCGAGGACGAGGCTTACAATGCGCCAAAGGATTTCTCCCCAAGACATCTATTCGCGCTGAGAGCGAAGAAAGGGCCTTGTCAAATTGTGCCTTGGAAGCAAAAAATGCTCGACATTCCTGTCTTCCGCAGGGCTATCAAGACCAAAGACGGTGTAGAAACCTCTAAAGATGCGCCTCTCCCATACAACCAGTATCATGGTTGGCTCGTTCTTCTCGGAGTTGCCCTAGGCTTTATCTACACCTTGACGACGTATTGTCTGCGAAGAGCATTAGGCAATGCTATCAATGGTAAGACTCGCAATGGTAAGACTCGCAATGGATTAGTACCCTTCTTAGACGAACCGTCCCTCACTGACCTGATGTAGATGATCCTAACTCGAACGCGGCGGTGCGAAATCTAGTCCTTGATCATGGCACCGGATCTGAGATCTTCGAACGCAACTATATCTCACGGACGATTCGTTACTTTACCCAAGATCAGTTCTGGGGAAGAAGCTCTGATCATGAGTCTGCAAGGACTGCGAGCCAGATCGGCCTGCTCCGAGATCCTGATCGACCGAGGAAACTCAGCGCCGAACAAGGACAGCAGGTACGACAAGACCCTGAGGTCCGAGAATTAGCCGCTGTCCGGGGTCGGTTACGCGCTCAGATCGAGGAAGTATTCGGTGTGATCGAAATGGCGAAGGGAGAACCAATCTATAATGACTACCAAGCCGTGAAGGCGTCCCTTGCCGCTACTATCCGAAAGAAAGAGCGGGCGTTGCTGAAGCGGATTCAGGAGGAGTACGACTTGAATGCCCCCGTGTTGGCTATCCAGCAGCAATTGAATGGGGAACAATCTGACGATGACGACGATGACGATAAAGGAGGTATTCCCACTGAAACGGTCCCCATTCGGATCGCTGAAAGACGCTACATCGCAGAATGTGCGGTGCGGGACCCATCTGTACTCCGTGATCAGAAAGGTTATGCCTTCCATGTTGAGTTCTCCACCAATCTGATTGCATTATGTAAACGGAGAGATCGCCGCCAGGTGACAACCAGGTGCTCTCCAGAGCTGGCTTCCGTCAAGACTACTTTGGATTCGCCACGGCTGCCCGAGAGAGAACCCATCGTCAAGCGTGACAATCCACTGAAGTGCCAAGACTGGCAGTGTCTTTTTTGTCTAGCCAGTTACGACCTTCCTTTGGAGGAGCGAAAACGCAAGTACAAAAGGAAATATACGCTTCAGAAACACGTCGATCGATGTCGTCTCGAATATTACGGTCCTGACGATCCCATCCCTTGCCCTGATGGTCATGCGTGCGTGGACTGATTCTGAACGGAAAGAACGAGCTGAAAGCGCACTTTATACATGTGCATGACTGCATTTTGTAGATTGAGTCCATCAACTTCTATGATTGATTGACGTCTTCACACTCCAGAGCCGAGATAGTATGCATTACTTCTCAATCTAGGCATGATACGCCTCTGCTAACCTATGATTGCACAGCCATCGCTCCCTATTTCTACTAGCCATGGTTGATGCATCTGGAAACCCACCCGATTGGTCCGCGATGTGCAATGTATCATCTTTTTCAGTTAGTCGATCGTGGGCTAAGACTAGAAATAACCAATCAGCATTTCTACGCCGAATCGGTCCCATCATACTACGTAGTAGTTAACTAACTTATAGTTAGATTAAGGACCTGCTGACCAGTGGATGATAATCCCCGGTAATTGAATCAACGAAATGCCGATACTTCCCACAGTCTATTATTTTCACGTGGTTACATGCAAGGCCCAGGTAGCTCGCATTCTGTTATGCACCATTCGTATAATAGGCCAGCTGATTCATTGGTCTTATTTCAGACAAATAATCCTAGACGATCTTGAACATCACTTTTTTTCGCCTTGTTGTGTATGAATTTCTCCACAGGAAGCTCGTCTGGAATGGAGGATAAAATAGGGAAGCTATACGTACACACCCGGGAATTCTGCATCCACACCCTCTAACCGTATTCGGTAATAATTTGATCACGTGCATAGATCTTTACTAGTGAACAACTACACGTCTATCATATTGTTGTAAAACAAGTCAGGTACTCGTCAATGTTGCTTATTTACGTAGTAAATACAAGTATATGTCGGAACGTGAATATCAAACCCTACACGTTTTGGCACCAGATATAGTTAGTCTGACGCGGCACGTGCGTGCCGTGTATATCTAGCTAGCTATCCCCGTCCGCCTCAGTAGCCCAACGACATTTTAGCGCCTATATCAGCGGTATCTCGACGACCTCCATTCTACCTGCCCTGTCCCCTTCCCCTTCCCCTTCCCCTTCCCCTTCCCCTTCCCCTACTCCAAATTCCTTACCCCCTTCACCCCCTCCCTCACGTCCCCTCTCAGGTCTTGAACAGTCGACTTATGCGACTATTACCCAATATGCCCCGGTCAAATCAACTCCTACTACTCACTCCAAAGCCCATGTT